AATGATTAAAATACTTGTACAAGTTGAGATGGATGTTCTATAAGTTCTTCATGAAATTCAAGGTGCATCAACTTGTTCGGTTAAATTTCAATACATTCTTTTTAGAGGTTATTAAAACATTACAAATCTATATCTATACTATATATAAAAACAAAATTCTGAACTTTTAACTTCCCGCCCAATTCTTAAAAAATCTCTCTTCTTAATAAAATATATTGATTTTTACAATAATTCTGGGTTAAAATTCTATTATAATATTATAAAATTGTGTAATACTATTCCTATTCTAATCTATATCTATACTATATATCAGTTTTGCAAAAATCGCGCCGCTGGCCGCGGCGAGGAAGACCAGAATCGGCCTCTTCCGCGGCCGCTTCGCTGGCTGAACCGGCGATTAATTTTTATTTATTTTTTAAGTTGTAAAGTGTCAAAAGTTCGGCAAGGCATAACTTTTGACTCGGTTGTCCGTTTTGGACAAATGTTTTTTTTGAAATCGCGTATTTTTTCGAGATCTATTCACCCCAAACTGTCGTAGGCGGTTTGACCCACCAATTTATATATAAAAAAAAATCTTTATTAAATAGTTTCTAAGAAAAAATAATGAGAACCTTATGTTTTATTAATGAATTTTTAATTAAAAAATTGTCCCGTGGATTATTTAATAATCTCTCTATATATTTGGTCAAATTATGGTAAATTAGGGAATAATTAATGATGCTAATATAAATCCTAAAAGAATATAGAATTGAAGAATATTTAATTATTGTTATATTATTATTGTGACTCACGAAATATTTAATTATGGTTATATTATTATTGTGCCTTACGACCATTATATACTAACAGAACTTGAAAAGAAACTAATAATAATAATTATATAATAATAATATAACTGGTAATAATAATATCTAAAAGTAATTAAGTGTTAATAATAATAGTAAGAATATTAACGTAAGAATTATAACATAGAATAAATCGTAATATTTTTTTTTTTTTGGAAAGAAAGAGGGTTTAACCCGAGAAAAACTATGTGGCAGATCTCCTGCCGACGAGCCCATGGGGATGCCCACGATTTACTCTAGCTCCAAGAGCATCTTCCCAGATAACATCGTCTATGATTCGAGGGCTTTTCCTTTAGATCTTCAACGCCCAAGTCGTGTAGGAGGGCTGCTGCTGCTAGACGGTCCGCTACTCCGTTCTGTTCGCGGGGGACGTGTAAGAAAACAAGTACTTAGAAGCTTTGGCGTCCCCGATTGCATAGCCGCATGATGTTGCAACTAGTAGAACTCCTTTCAGCAGACTCATTCAAGTTCTCGACCGTGTTCATCGAGTCGCTCTCTAAGATGAGCTTTTGCACTCCCCAGTAGGCTGCCATCTTCAACCCCATAAACATAGCCCACTTCTCTGCCTCATCCGCTGAACAAGTGCCAATGTTGTAGGTAAAACCTCGTACCCAATCGCCTCTATGATCCCGAAGAATGCCTCCACAACCAGCTCTCGCGCCCACTCCCTTGCAACACCCATCGACATTTAATTTCAACCACCCTTCCTCCGGTTTGAAATTGTCAGGAAAAATAAGCGATCTCTGGTGAAATTAACTCTTAAATAATTATATATCAATTTAAATATTATTAATATATTACAACAATTCCATTCTGTACATTGCACGGGTGAAAATACTAGTCTTGATAAAAACTAAAATACTTGTAAAAATGGGCAAACTAGTGGACAAATTAAATGATTAAAATACTTGCTTAAGTGAGGTGGATGCTCTATGGATTTTCATTGCATTCAGACCACATCAACTTGTTTGACCATCGATCTTATAAACGAATAAACGATATGATGTTAAAAAAATAACTCCAACCAAGTTAGTTAAATTATTGACTTAGAAAATATAAAGTTACAAATTTAACTCTTAATAAAAACAGTTTATTGACCTTCTTAATTTGAGCCGGTCAGCTATAAACAATTTAGATTGATTTACCTTATTGTGGTCTTTTACCAATTATTAGAGGGTATTTGGTAGTCAAGAAAGTTTAAACTTTTTTGAGAATTTAAAAAGTGGGAAGATTATTCCCATGTTTGGTGCAATCTTTTAATATAGGAAAGTTCGGGCCCATGTAATCACATTCGATGATATCAAGAAAAGTAAATCTCACATAGGGGAGGTGGATTATTTTTCTCAAATAACTGAGAATTTATCAAATTTTATTCAATTACATATTTATCATTTTTTGTGTCAGGTTAAACGCCTTTTATAAATATAAGAAATTTTTCGCTTTCACAATACATATTGTTTATCAAAGAAAATTACATTTAGATACGTTAACGTTTTCCGTAATCTAATTTACAATATGATTCATTATATGCGTAACGATGCAGTACATGTATATGTGCGTATAGTGTCCAGTTCAGTTTGAACCGAACTGTGGTAATCTCTACGTATAAGCAATAATTTATTGGAGAAGAAAAATAAATAAAATGTTTGCTCTAAGGGTAGACATGTCAATTTAATATATTAGGAGAAAAATCACCACTAGAATAATTGAGGAGCTAATGTGCTTACATGAATAATTCAGAGAAAAAATGTGCTATAAACATATAATTCAGGAGGAAAAAATGACATTTTCCCTATATACTACTTTTGCCATTTAATTATTATTATTATGAAATATATATTTTATATTGTTTTATTATACATATCATCTTGTTTAATTATTTTTGTAGCATTGTCCACAATTATTTTTTTTTTTACAAAGGAAGGGGACACCCACATACATTATCTACGCCTTCACCAAGGCTCGAACCTAAGACATCCCACATAAGGAGCCAATCGGATACTAGTGGACTACAAGCCACTTGGTATTGTCCACAATTATTTAGTTATTTATTTATTTATTTATTTATTTATTTATATACACAAACACGTGTGTGTAGCATTGTCAACAATTATTTTAGGGTTACTGCGTGCAGGCTGGAGCTTGCTTTGCCTCCGCCCTCCGCCTCCCCTTACTCTACTTCGACGCTTCGCCATTGCTGCTCAGGTAAAATCTTTCACTAATTGTTGCAGAAACACAATAGATCTCTGATATACGTATAGTATATTTAGTTGCTTATCATTCCCTCAAGAGTCAATCAAGTGTCCAGTTTTAACACCCCCAAATGCTACACCTGTGATGAAATTTCTGTTTGATGCTTGCAGAGCTATTCAATTCCCAGTACTCGTTTCAGCGCTGCCTTGTTAATGGGAGATGCTGGGCTTGATCTAACACCGCAACACCACACATTTTCCATGGATTGTGTTGATTTCTATTTTCTTTTTGAAGATTCGGATGGGAGGACCATTAATTCGCCTGCTGCTTTGACTTTCTCATTGTGGGTTCTGGGTTCTAATATTGTCAATGGGGATATGTGGCTTAGGAAAAGCGTAACACAGGTATTTTTTTTCCCTTAAACCCTTTATTTATAATTTATTTAGAGAATAAACTTTTTAAAGCTTATAATACCCATAACCCATTTTCTAGTTATTCGTTTAGTTTTGCACAATCCCTTTAACCACTGCCATATCTATTTTACTCCCCTCCAAAGAAATTTTGCTACAGATTTTCAGAGATTCCCAACCCTTTTCCAGCTCTTTTTTACGAATCATTAACGGATCGGTGAAAAAAATTAATGTGGGATTCGAAATAGGGAAATCCCTAAAGTGGGATACTCAGGGAAAGTGCCTTGATAGGCGATATTTATCTTTGGCGACATTCAGATTACCGTATTACTAAAAACAACTAAATAATAACGTTGTTATATACCGTATAAAGTTAATATAATACGGTTGTGAATTAAAGTATAATATTTATGAGTAAATAATAATACAAAAATGAATGATTAGTAAAAGTGAAACATAGGTACAATGTAATAAAATCATCGAAACGGGTAACACTATTATTATTATACGTCTAAAGTGTAAAGTTCACTATACACATTGTCATTAATGAAATATTTAACCGACCATGGATAAATATTTTCAACATGACATGAACCAATCACCAACAGGAGTACAACGTTGTCCTCCAAGCTGAATAAAACGACATCGTCCTCCGTTGTATTAATATTAAAATGTGTTGTTCTTTCTTCCCACTGTTCTGTGAAAAAAGTTAAAGATATGTCAAAATATAGGTCTAGCTTTCGTGATCCACAAACTATTTGAAGCGGAGCGTTTACGAACTCGTCGGTATCTCTGAGGAATGCAGACAATCGAGTTTTCTATAGTGACGAAACAAATAAAAGAATTAGTAAATAGTAGTTAGAAATGAATTAGAATGTTATCATAGTAGATTATTTCTTACTGCTCCAGGTTGGGAGAAATTCGTATACAAAGAACGGTGTCGTTCTACCTGAATTGAATATGCTGGGGACAATGCAGATTTCGCCTTTACACATATTCGGTCTAAGGTATAAAAAAAAAAAAAAAGAGATATTATTTTGTGGACCAATATGTCTAAATAAACCAATATGTCTCAAAATAATAGGGGACCAATATGTCTCAAAAGTATAACAAAAGGTTTCAAAAGTGAAGAAACTAATATGTCTAAATAGCACCCTCTCCCCTATTCGTAACGAATTTGCAGTAATGAAATCATAAATTCCCGTAGTGAAGTGCATGTTTTCAACAGACACTTCGATTCCGAACGATGAACCATATTTCAAGATCGCAGTCGTTGTGAAGTGCTGCATTAGATGTCGATACATGCAATTTGGGATTTTCTAATGTAATTAATAAAAAAAAAAAACAAACAAACAAAATTAGGGCGCATTTAAAAAAATAATTTAGAATAGAATTGAAAAGGAAAAAAGTACAAAATAAAATTAATTAGATTAATTTACCATGGTGACACGCGACCTAATTGTAATAAAAAATCACATAATAGTAGATCTCGCAATATCCGGAAAATGTTTTTGATCATTGCAAGCTACACGAAAGCAAAGAAAAAAATAGTTATAACTACACATTATAAATTTGAAATATGAAATGACTTACGTGAGGGAAGTATTAGTGTTCGTAATTCATGTTGTAGGACGTCATAGGTAAAACGCTTTGCATCTTGAAAATTATGAAATGCAATTGGTTCAGACACATTTATTCCTAGCATTTTCATATATTTGACCCATGAAGGAGGTGCAAAACATATATATTGATTTTCTGTTGTATGCTGTATAATTGCATATAATAATTTCCCCCCATTGATTGTAGTTGCGAAATAACGTTTCATATTATAACGTTGTTGGTTGACGCATGAAACCTTTGAAAATTCTACAAAAATATCCATGATCGTTGGAGAGAAACTTGAAAATTGGGCAAGTGTTTGGCAATGGATTACGAGTTTGAGACAAAATGGTTTGTGCTGGAGGGGGAGCAAATTGAAGAATGAGTCGGTGTGGTTTTAAACAATGGACGGAGTGGGTATAAATATGACATTATTCGAATAAAGCCTTTGCCATAGGCGTGATTTATACTGACATTATTCGAACAAAGCCTAAGCCATAGGCGTGATTTATACTGACATTATTCGAATAACGCCTATGCCATAAACCTTAGGCGAAAAAACAAATTTTGTTTTAACTTTCTCGCCTGAAAGTTAGGCGAAAATAGATATTTTTTCAGGATTTGATTTATATCAATTACATTTGATTATTTTTTCCCGAACCAGTGAGCGAGTACAGAATTGCATATGTTCATTGATGAATTATGTCGTAATATTAATTTATTTTATCTTAGCAACTATGGCTCAGAGAATGGTCAATCCCGGTCCAATTGACACTTCTGTGCTGACAATGCAACACAGTCATCGTTCACGATCAATTTGGACAGATGCCAATGTGGCAAACAATTCACATATTAAGTGTTGTCGCTATGAAGGGAATTTGGCTGAACCGCGACATCACAGAATGATCGAGAACTTGCGCCTTAGCGGTTTTTATGGTGTGTCGCTCATTGACCACGTTAGGTTAGATCATTCGTTGATCTTGACACTAGTTGAGCGTTGGCGTCCGGAGGTCCACGCCTTTCACCTACCATTCGGTGAGGTTGGTATAACACTTCAAGATGTTGAAGTGTTATTTGGATTAAAGGTGGATGGTCTAGCTGTTACGGGAGGACAACAACGGACTAAACAACAATGGCAGTTTATGTGTGACCAATTGTTGCGTTTCTCTCCTAACCCTACAGCTTTTCGAGGCCAAAAAATAGTATGACGCTGATTCCGGAAATTCCCGAGTTGACAGACGCGAGCACAGATGATGATGTCGCGTTTGCAGCGCGCGCGTATTTAATACGTGTGCTAGGGGGGTTTCTTTTTCCAGACACGTCAAACAGCTTGTTAAATCTTAACTTGTTGCCGTTTCTGGAAGATTTTGAGGACTGTGGTCAGTACAGCTGGGGATCAGTTGTTTTGGCCTTTCTGTATAGAGCTCTGTGCAGTGCTTCTGAGCACGCCAAATCTCATGTGTGCGGGTGTCTACTCCTTTTGAAAATTTGGGCGTGGGAGAGGCTGCCAATGGTACGACCTGAGGGTTTTTTACCTGCACATGGCGGACAAGGCTTGTCACTTGCATCACGGTTAGTATAAATATTAATTCCTTGCCTAAACTTTGTTTGAGCACAGTATATTATTCTTGTCCTTATTTAATTCCTCTTCCAAATGCAATTTTAGGTGGGGAGGACCACATGATTGGGAAACTGTACCGAACCACGTGGTTCTTGCATATCGCGACCAATTAGATCGCGTCTAAACTGATAGTGTAAGTTATTTTATTATTTGAGAACTTTTCATTTTTATATGTACAATAATGTACAGTGATAAGGACTTGACTAAAATAAGTACTATTCTTTTGTGCAGTTTGTCTTCCAACCCTACCGTCTTCTTTTGCACCGCTTGCCCGATTATTGCAGAGCTGGGGAGGATATATGGACTGCAGAAGTTCCGTTGATTTTCGGTTATGTAGTTGAAGAATATTTTCCCTCACGCTTTTGCAGGCAGTTTGGTGCTCAACAAAATATCCCGGCCCCCGTGCAATACAATCAGCAGCACGCTATTGACGGTCGGACAAATAATGCAGCGCAAATTATCGCGCCATATATCGATAGGTGGAACCATCGCCACGAATATGTATTCGCAATGTTCGTGATGGACAACCCAAATGCAACGCGCGAATACAGGTTATGGTTCCACGCGCATGGTCGTCGCATCATTGGTAACCCAGAACACCGCCAAGATCAGGGTTACATCCAAACTGCGGCGTCATTAAATGACACGGTAAAATTTGTTACTTAATTTTATTATATTACTTAATTTATTATAACTAAACATTAATAATCCTTATATTTCATGTAGATGCATTTTCTGAGCCAAATGAACTTAGGTATGGAAGAGGCTGGAGATGATCCGCAGCGTCAATCGGACTGGTGGCGGAAATACCGTGTGGCCTTGCCTGCGCATGTTGAACAAGCCGGGTACGGTTTTCTACTGGACTTCCCAAATGAAATGTACAATGTTGAGCCAGTGGACGCACATGTTGGTCCTGTTCGTCGAGATCGACGACGTGAGCGAGACCATTTGCGTGGTCAACCGCAACAGGGCGGGAGGCGTAGGGGTGTTAGGGTAGATGAGGGCATGGATGCTTCGGCACCTGGAATGCAACATCCGGCTGCGGCGGACAATGTTGTAGGGGGCGATGTGGATGCACTTGCACTTACAATTGTCCCGGGACAATTGTACGACGGTAGCGGGGCATTTCAAACGGGAGGATACACTTCATTTGATCAAACCGCTCAATTCCCTCACCAGACGCAGGGATCGTTTGGCCAAATTTTTGACCCCACCCAAGCCTCTTCTAGTTACCCCCAAGCCTCATATCACCCACCATACGGCTATAACACATCTGCATACCACCCAAGTCAGTTTGGTGAAGTTGGGGAATCATCTGCTCAGGGTGGTTTGAACATGGGACGACCAATGCAAGATACGCAGCCAACAGACGACGACGAAGATTTTATATCTTATATGCATCCCCCGCATCAATGACTGTAAATTTTATAGCTTGAATATTCAATTATTATTTTCTGTTACTTTTTACTCATGTTTAGATATTGATAAATAATTTCTCTACTGCAATATTTTTTAGTATAACAACATCATTCACAATAGCTAAATTATTTTAGGAGTTTGCATCAATTATTTATTCGTCCTTTTACTAATTAACATAAAATCACCAAAATACTCGGACACCTTAATTTATTTAGCGTTTATTTTGGATTTATTTATCTAACAAAATTGTAATACGATCATTCAAAAGTAAATATGTTTATTTACAACTATAAATACGCTGCTTTATAAGTAAATACGATGGTTTATAAGTAAATACGACGTTTATAGGTAAATACGGTGGTGCACCGTATTTGAGAAATAGAAATGTTATATCATCTTTTCTTTAGGCGAGATATGAAAAGTCCAATCTCGCCTATGGAAAGATAGTTTCCCTCTTTCGTAACTCATGCAAGGCATTTCCTTGTCAGGGATCCCATATTTATAACCTTCCTCACGGGCAAAATCACCCTTTACCATCTTCCTAGTTCCTAGTGTCTATGCGCCTCTGACCTCTGACCGGATGAAGTGTTTGGTGGTCTATCACGCACAATGGCCTAGGCATTTAGTATTTTGAATGAGATATTTTTTTGAAACCTATTTTGAATGAGATATCAATATGCATTTTATTAAGTTAGTTTTCATTATTTATATTTTAAATTTAATATAATTACAATTTTATTGTTTATATTTTAAATGTTAATATAATTACAATTTTATATTGATAGGATATTGCTGGGTTCGGCTGTTCTGGGATATCTGTATAGGGCGTTGGGTACAGGTTGAGCATCATCTGAACACGCCGAGGGGTGTTTTGCATGCTCTACCCCACAATCAATATGAACATCTCGACCTTCACGCCTATCTCATGGAGCACCCAATTACTGATTTACAATTGGAAAACCCAACATGGTCGCATTTAGGTAGTGAAAACATTTTTCCGTCCACTCGATTGTGCATGTCGAAGAGGAGCAGCCACGTCCACGACGGTCTACAAGACTAACGCGACCGACGGTGTGTAGAACCGGAACTCGACACCACAGGTAAACAAATAAGCATAGAATTCTCTATGGTTTTATAAGTTGGTGTGACTAATGAATTTGTTTTTATGATGAAGTTGTTGTGGCTAATGAATTTGTTTTTATTTCTTTAATTTGTAAGCACGGATGAAGTTGTCACTTTGTATGAGTGAAAGGCGAGAGAGATAGAGCATCTGCAAAGCATGTTTTTGTTTTTATTCCTTTGTTTGATGGAATTTCCCATGAATTTGTTTTTATTCCTTTGTTTGATGGAGAACTAAGAACAGAAATGTAACTATGCCATGTAAGCACCACTAAATCCCCATGTTTTTTTCTTACTTTTATTTTATTGGCACCACTAAATCCCCATGTTTTTTTCTTACTTTTATTTTATTGGTTAATCAGTGAAATATATTATTTTGACAGTATAAGTATCACTTTTATATGGCAAAAGACTGAATGGTTGAGGTATAACCCATGCATCGAAAAATAAAATGCTAACAAATGAATTACATTTGAATTCCAACTTCAGAGTTCTGACTTTACATCATAGTCTTACCCCAATTGTTGAATTAATAAATTAAAATGTTTTTAAGATAAAAATTGTTTTTATTAAATATTTAATTAATAATGTGACATGTTTCCTCCAAAACAACAACACTTATAATAATACTGTGATTGAGCAAATTACACTTTTGGTCCTGTGACTATTAGGGGTGTGTTAATTTGTGTACGTGACTTTTAAAACTAACAATTTAATCCTTTAACTATCATTTTTTTAGCAGATTTGGTCCTCCTGGCCAAATTGCTGGTGGAATTTGGCCGGAAAGACATTCGAATTTTTAAATCAAATATTAGTGGGGGTAATTCGGTCTTTTTAATTGTAAAAAAAATAGCGTTTGATTTAAAAATTCGAACGTCTTTCCGGCCAAATTCCACCGGCAATTTGGCTTGGAGGACCAAATCTGCTAAAAAAATGATAGTTAAAGGACTAAATTATTAGTTTTAAAAGTCACGTACTCAAATTAACACACCCCTAATAGTCACAGGACCAAAAGTGTAATTTGCTCTACTGTGATTCATTAACTATGCCTTGGTCAATGCTTTACAAATTGTTATATTTTTTGTCGCAAGGTGTACATTCATTGAACGGGGGAATAATGCATTAATATTAATGAACTTAAAGTACATTGAGCATGGAAATGAAAGAACAAAGATTAAAAGCATTTCACATTGCGGGAATGATTGATTAACGTAAAGTCATCTAATTGAGGTCGTTAATTGGTGGATTTCGCTGTATACATTATTTCGGATTTGGTAACTGACTGACCACGGATAAATCTTCTTGACGTTACAGGAGATAGCAATTGGTAGCATGAGTATAACGTGTTGCTCGACATTGAAGAATACAACACGGTCACATCCATCTAACTGAAAGTGATCATATATTTGCTCCCATTGTTCGTCATAGAATATTAATGTGTAGTCGAAGTAGAGTTCTAGTTTCTTGTCTCCAACAATGAATATTAGAGGCGCATCCACTTCGATGGAGTCGCGGAGAAATTCACTCAATTGGTCACGCTATATTTAAGAAAGACAAGATTCATAAGTACCAGCATATATTTAAACATAATTTGAAAGCAGAAATTTTCCTTACCGCAAAAAGTATATCAAAATTGTGATATAAAGATCTACATCCCTCTAATTGATCAAATTCATATGTTGGTCATATTGCAGACCTTGCTGGCACACTGAAGGACGCTATAATATATAAATGAATTAGTATGTAAGTAAAAGTCAAATATTTCATGCACCACATATGCACCAATAATGTAATGTTACCGCGATCAAACCGCCGAGTATTTCTCCTTCCATCAAATTGATTAAATTCTCTCTTTGGACTGTAAAAGTCGACGCTAAATAAGTAACATTCGAAAATGAAGAAACCCGTATGTCGAAATAGGACAATGTCTCCAGGGTATAAATCATTTTCAATCTTGGAATTACTGTAAATTGTATATCTTCGACATAAACTTCTATCCATGCGCTATGATGCCAAAATATTGCTTTTGTCATTAGATGTTGCATTAAATGGCGATGCATATAATTTGGAATTCTCTATTATAGACGTTGATACAACATGTCAGAATGAAAGAAGTGTTACAATGTAGTTTTAAAATGACAGTAGATTTATAACGAATTACCATGTGTACGTCTTCCATAACTTGAATAGTGAACCAAGTCGTAGCGTATTCTCTCACATCAGACATATGCATTACATCGTTGCAAGCTAAGTACAAAAATGAACAAACATAAATGGACCTAAGGGGATGTTTGGTTCATGGAAAATGTTTTCCAAAGGAAAACATTTTCCTTAAAGTGAGGGAAAATGTTGTTTTCTAGTGTTTGGTTCATGGATTGGAAAATGAATTCCTCAAATTTGAGGAAAACAAAATCCTTGGTTGGACCAAGGATTTTGTTTTCCATGGAAGATGGAAAGAAAAAGTGAATAGATTGCCTATTTTACCCTTGCTTTCTTTTTAAATTATATTACTTTTTTAAATTTGTATGGGCATATAGGTCTTTATACTCATTATTCCTTACAATTCTAAATCTAACCAAACAATAGAATTAGTATTCCCAGTAATTCTTTTTCCACCAACCAAACAATGAAATTCATCTTCATAGTAATTGTTTTTCCATGGAATTCCAATTCCACTTCCCTTAAAATATTTTCTGCGAACCAAACGAGCCCTAAGTGTGGGTTTCTATCGGCATTATTAATTAACAAAATGCGATAAAACTTACGTGAAGAGAAACATATTTGTCGCAGACTTTCAAATATGACCAGAGCATATCGTTCTGCATCTTCTTGATTTGCAAAAATCATTGATTCGGGCACGGGTAAACCTAACGTTAGTAGATATCAATCCCAAGTACAAGTGAGATAACATAAAAAAGTATCACAGTGTCTTCGGTCTACACGTGCATACAGAAATTTTCTTCCATGGATGGATATTGCTTGATACAACAGTCGATGACAAAAGAGAGGAGTGATTCCAGGGGTATCTCAAAATCATCAAATAGATCCATTTTTTCTCACAGAGTAAAAAGAAGGGGAGCTAGAATTTGTGTTGAGCTGATGATGAAATAAGTAGATGTTGTCTTGGTGTGGCGTTAGATATATATAGCAAGCAGGGCCAAGTGTTTCTAATAGATTATATAATACTTCCTACATGACATGTATAAAAAAAAAAAAACAAATTGCAAACGAAACAAAAAATTAAATTCAATCTTCGATAGAGGCTAGGCCGAATATTATTATCAATTCGGCAATATTGTGTAATTCGGATAAATAGAGACCGATTTATTATTATAATGTAATTCGGGTAAATAGAGTCCGATTTATGCATTATAATGTAATTCGGATAAATAGAGTCTGATTTATGCATTATAAATTTTCTTCACTATTATCAATTAAAGTTGGTCCAATTTTCCATAACAAAAATTATAAATCGGATAACTATAGTTCGAATAAACTTGTTATTTTTTTTTAGAAATAACCATTAAACGATTCTTCATTTAAACGCGCGTAATCGTAAATATGAAAGTCCCACAAATGATTATAAAGGACTTCTGGACCACAATGAGAGAATACAATTAAGTTTATACTTCCTAGATCAAAATTCAAAAACAACAAAGTGTTAGCTTCTTCCATGATGCTAATGTTCTCCGCTAATTCCATATACGCACGTCGGTAGTAACCGTTGTGAAATCTGATTGTGGTAGTGCCATGTACCACATCAACGAAGTCATTGTGAGTCACTGTCGCAGCAATGAAGTCGATTAGTACTGACTGTTGACGAGAAAACTCAAAGATATTAATCATTAATGTCCGGCATCCTATAAGTTATTCAATCGAAACACTTGGATGGATGCTCGACCTCGTTGGTATAGCAATAATTCCATCGCCACTGTAGACACAGAAAATTTGAACCC